TGAAGATCTCATTTGCATCTTACATTTTATTAAACTGCATTTGGTCCATTATTTTTAAATCTAATATCAGAAAAATCTTTCCACATTTGATGGTCTCCCAGTTACAACAGAAAGGCCCATAGAAATATTTTAAGATATATTTGTTAAAAAGTTATTTTAAACATTATTTTCTTAAAATATGAGAATTTTTTTTTTACTGATAGGAGTAAAAAAGCAAATAATTATTTGCATTTATAAAATTGCACCATATCACATCATGTTTAGGATAGTTCAAGTTCTTTATTGTATAGAAACTTGGAAAATTGTTTTGAAATAAGCGAGTCATCAACTAGAGCATAAGAACTTTTATTCTTTATAGACAATTTTTGTTTCAGTAAGCTTTTCATTTTTTTTATTTTGTGATGACCTAATACGTCTTTTATAAGTAAGTCACAGGCACATAAATCACGGCCCATTTGTGTGGATGAAAGCTCATTTCCTGGTAGGTAGGCATGGTGATCACCATCATGAAATGAAAAGAAACATGAAGTGGAATTTAAAAACTTTTAGGATGGTTGGTTCTGATTTCAGATAAATTGGATAAGTAAACCCCTATCAACTAGTAGCTTTTTCTTTCTGATTTATCAAAGTGATAATGTCAAACCTAAAATTTACACATTTATCCCGTAAAGTTCACTTACTGTGTATCAGATTTCGTCACAAGTGGGAGAACCTTTGCATTTATGGTACACACAGAACTCTCTCATTGAGAACATTTCAGTTGGTTTTGAATGACTACTGATATTTTCCTTTTTAATTTTGGTCAGGACTGACTATACCTGTAAATAAACAGGTCAGATTTTCTATGTGGGCCATAAATCATACATACACAGAAAATTATCTGTGCATAGCTAGCAAGTTTACTTAAGTTCAGGCATGAATCTAAAGCATGTACTTTTTCCAGTGTTCGAAATTTTTCCTCATAGAGTTCCATCTTTAGGATTTTAAAGTTGCAATTAAAATATGTATGGAATTCATCTTTCGTATTTAGCATATATTATACCATATAACTACAAATTTAGTACACATTAATTCAGTCTTCTCCCATTCCTATGGCTTTGCTTGAGCTATTCCCTTTTCTTAGAATGCCCTCTTCCACATTTGAAAGTCAAGATCTACCCATCCAAGGGTAGACAGCTTTGAGACCAGTGAAAGATTACTTGGTTGGTGATAAAGTAGAAAAACTTGGTGCTATAGGTTTACCTTTGGTTAAATCCAAATTCTTCATTTTGCTAGTGAGCAGACTTCCTACCTTCTCTATGCCTTCATTTCCTCATGCATACAATGGGGATTTTATATTTCCTTTTAGAATTGTGATGTGGGCTAATTGATGTAATATATGTAAAAGATCAAAATTATCAGGTCCTTTTCTTTCAAACGCCAATGTTTCCACAAAAATGTCTCCAGGTCTCACTCCTCCCTGCCAACTACCCCAATTACTGATAATCTCATCTTCCTTTGAATTCTTATACACTTTACCTGCCCCTCAAGAACTTCACTATTTTCTGCATTGTGTTATTCACTCATTCAGCAACTATTTATTGAATGCCTACCATGTGCCAGGCTTATATCCACATACATTTTGTTCTTTTTTTCCTCTAGCTTATTCTTAAGCTTCTTGAGGTTAGGTCTTTGTAATATTAATATTCCTTCCTCTCGCTTCATTGTCTGATAGTGCCTGGCACTAGTGCTTGAACAAGTATGTATTTGTTAATATTTGGTAATATTTTAATATTTGGTAAAACAGGCATTACTATATAATGCACGCAATAAGTGTATATTTTCAAATGTGTCCACATCCTCAAATAGGATTCACATGTGGGAAATGGTGCTCATATGCCAGTACATGGGGTCATCCTCATCCTCATTATTAAATAATAATAATGATGACGATGATAATAAAGCAATAGCCAACATTCCTGAGAATATACACAAAAAAGAATATTCTGTTCTCATTCCTACATGAGTTCTTGAAGTAGTTTCTACTAGAGCAAAACATGGTTTCCAAAAAGAGAATGTGAATGAACAAATGAGCTGCAGCTAAGTCTCTATGGAATTACATTAGCACAAATATAAGGAGTTTTTCAAATAACTATGGTTTATAAATAAGGACTTTCATATATACAATGCCATGGCTAGATGAAATTCTAAGGTTTCAGGGGAAATTACACAATCTCATAATGAGGCTGTGTGTACACAACACCAAGCCATCCAAATGAAAACTTGAGCAAATCACTTAGGAATGTGGTCTTTGCTAGCCCAGACATTTCGAGTCATTATTGGAAATATGTAATGTGGCTCTGACACTATTTTACTACTCGTGGATGAAGTACACTATAGAGAAGTCTCACTTTAATTTGCTGCTTCTAATCAACCACAGGCTAGAAAACCAGAAAGCCAAATTGGTTAAAACTGTGTTTAAAATAAGACTAGGCTCTGATTTAAGGCTGAGAGTACCTTACAAACAGAAGTAAATATAGGTGTTTAAGTGCATGGCTATTATATTTTTAGTTACTTATCTCCAAAATGGAGGTTTCTAAAAAGTTACCATGTAACATAAGGAATCTGTCAGATTACCTCTTCTCCCACAGTGCAGAGTTTCCTTTGAGAAATGGGATGTAGTGACTTTCGCTCCTCAGGAGTTTACCTCTATCAAGCGTCCTAGTGTCTCCAGAGTTGGTTCCTTCCAGTGGGTTCTTGGTCTTGCTGACTTCAAAGAATGAAGTTGCAGACCTCTGCATGAGTGTTACACCTCTTAAAGTTGGTGCAGACCCAAACAGTGACCATCAGCAAGTTTTATTATGAAGAGCAAAATCACAGCTTCCGCAGCATTTACGAGTACACCAACACACTGAGAGCTACTGCCTCAGGTCGCCGGCCAGCTTTTATTCCCTTATTTGGCCCCACCCACATCCTGCTGATTGGTCCATTTCACAGAGCACTGATTGGTCCACTTTACAGAGTGCTGATTGGTCCATTTTTACAGAATGCTGATTGGCACATTTACAATCCTCTAGCTAGACACAGAGCACTGATTGATGCATTTGCAATCTTCTAGCTAGACAGAAAAGTTCTCCAAGTCCCCACCCCACCCGGAAGCCCAGCCAGCTTCACCTCTCACTAGTTGCTACAGACCATGCAAGATTCTACACAGAAATAGATTCATGAGCACACTGTCCACATGTCTCAAAGGTCCAGAAGTCCCAAGAGACTTTCTGGGCCTATTCCATGGCCACCACTCACAACTCCATGCAGCTCTGCAGGCGTTGCCAGTGACTTTTCAATTCACTTGGGATGAAGTACCAGGTAGCAGAGTGCTTGAGCAGGTCCTAAGTGTGAAGGAACTGAGATGGGAAATATACCCCTCTTCTCCAGATGTGCAACCTGTCCTTGGCTGATGCTGACAACGAGCCTGAATTTGTTTTATGGTCTTTATTATTTTTGCTTCAGTGACTGGCATTAATGAATGAATGCTGCACCTCAGGTTCCGTTTCCATGGCACTCCACCCACCTTCTCTTTTCTTCTGGAACCATTCAGAAGAGGGTATGTGAGCGAGTGTAGGAGGCTTATTGCCCAAACACTCCACTGGAAGAATGTGATAGAGCCAGATGTGAAATGGATCTCCCCTGAGTGAAGAATATGCAACCAAGAGTTGCAGCACATATTGGAGAGGAATGGCTTTCTGACTTAACTCTGGGTTTGTAATCTTGTGCTATCCCACATCCAAGTCAGAATGCCTGTCCAGCCTAGACATCAAAACTGGCCTGCTATCATTTCTGATTTTTACTGAGTATCTGTGAAGAAGAAAGAATCTTTTGGGGGGTTAATAGATCCCAGGCCTGAGAATTGGATATGGATTTCTATAGCCACTCGGAAGAAAAATTCCAATATTTTAAATCCACGTATCACATAATGTTTCAAGTGGAGCACACACATTTGGAACATTATAAAAAAGAGACAAAGTATATTATTTGACTGCAACAGCGCAGATAACTTTGCTGTGATGGTGAGCGCAGTGTAGCAAGAGTTAATGCTATAAAATTCACAGCACTGTCTATTGTGAATAAATCCAATGAAACTTGTTCAGATAGTACTCAAGCAATACTAAATAGACCATATGTAATCACCCAAGACCTGAGACACATAAAAACTTTATTAGTCATTACTGAAATAAAGTGCAAATAAGTTCGTCTTAGAAAGATCCAGAACTCTTTATGTTTTAGGTCAGCTGCGCCATAAAACAGTGCCTGACAAATTTTAAGTGATATTCTAATTAATCACTGGATTTTTATAGTTTCTTGAAAGTTGTAAGTTAGATATTAACAAGGCAGGGTGAGAGGAAATCCCCTCATACGGAGAATGAGTCCTATGTCCTTTGCACAAGCCCACTGGGTCAGCCAAGCCAGACTTTATACTAAGCAGCTGTTGGAAATGGAACAGACCATTAATCCGAAGAGTATCATTATTTTCATATCGATTAAAGTGGGATGTAAACCGTGCACCAAATTCACAAACTGATGGAAAATCATTCCAGCTGTGCCTCTGTCTGATACAAGAAACACTTTCTGGTGCATTTTTACTTTTTATTTTTTCGAGAAACGAACGTTTTGTAATATACTGATCATATGACTCTCCTTAATGCTATCACATACTCAGCAATCATCATGACCCAGCATTTTGGGTGCATAGATGTTTCTGATTTATATTTTTCATTTATGTCAATTAGATGCAATGATGGTATCAACAATCTAGGAAATTGTATTTGTAAAGGGAAATTTTGAAATTTCAAAATTTTAAAAGGAGGCAGACTTTTTTTGTGTTCACCGTCAGGAACAAATATCTCCAATGAGGAGCAGGCATTTATTTTCAAGGAATGAAATTTAAAAATGGCTATCACATTATTACTTCAATTCTTTTTTCTAAAAACACAAAAACCTCTTCTATAAACACTTTCACTTACCTCATAATATAAAGGAACATTACCACCTACAGGTTTTTTTGCCTTTTTAGATGAAGCAGATCCAACAAGTGTATGTATTTCATTAATCTGTAAGAAAATTAAATTTACTTATAATGTAAAAAGCCTTATTTGAAGAATATTTAGATATATGTAACTTTCAAATATCTAGGTGATCTGAAGGGTTGGGGAAACCAGCAAGAAAGAGGTACCCATGAATTAGGTAAAATATTTATAGTCACTTTGTAAGCTGTCAGTAATTGTATGGGTATGTGCCATCTGACAGATCTTTTCTATATTATTGCTCTCCTCTGACCTCTGACACTTATGATTCTCTGTAGCCTTCATTTTACAATTAGTCATGTACCTCCCTGGAATCTTAAATAGTCTAGTCTTTTATAATTATTTAACTTGAATTAAATATTTTCTCACAGAACCTAGCATGGTGCCTGGTATGACCTCAGAAATCTTTGACAAATAAATTAATATTGAATTAACAAAATTAATAAACAAAAATAAATTCTTCCAGATTGAACAACTCAAATTTATTCTGGCTAAATAGTTACTTAAAATAATCCATCAAAATTTACAAAACAGTCCAAGAATAAGATAGTTTATTTTATAATTCTATTCTCTTATTTTAAGTAAAAAAGCCTTCAGGGGATTTTGAGGTAGGAAGGGACAGGTACCTGCTGGAAAATGTCTTGCCAGGATACCATACTGAAGAGTTTACGCTGAGGGACCTGGACAGCCAGGGTAAGGGCTTGGATGAGAAGATCATCTTCAATCTGGTTCCCAACCACAAAAGCAATGGAGGCCTTCCAATCGTTCTATTAAAAATCAGATGGAATTAGATTTTAAAGATTCCTGAATAGGTCATTTCGTGTCAAATATTTCCACTGAGAAACAATGATTTTCCTGTAAATCTTACTTGAAAGACAGAGGTGACCTTGTAATGTATGTGGTTCCCTGATTGAAGTAGCCGCAAGGCGGCAGTGTTGTGCCAAATTTCATGCAACTTGACCAAGACAATTTTCTTGAGAAACTAGTCCTTTTATTTTGAGGAAGACAATTTTTAAAAACGACACTTTCACTAAACTGTTGTCCAAGAATAATCCGCTGTTGGAAAGCAATCGTTCATTCCTATGTCACAAATATATATTAAGATGTAGTCTCAAAAAACAAGAACCTTTATTTTGTTCCCTAGTATATCCCAAGACTCTAAATAGTGGTAGGAATATAAAAGCAGCTGAAAAAAACTGTTAAATGTTGGGTCATATTGGATGAGCTGCCAAATGAGAACTGAACCACATCTTTTTCTCTTAATGTAACACAAGAATCTCATTGCTAATTCACAAGTGAGTCCTTTCCACTCCCAAGAAATGGGCAAAAATATTACACTTGGACATGAAATTTCACATCAAATAATTAAAAAAAAAAATAAGTTACTAAAGAATTACATTCAGTACTTTTTTCTCTTTGTTTATTGTAATTATAATTTCTGTTGGGAGATTAAGAGTGGTGCTCACTGGATTACCGCACATTACCCACTGTGAGGTGCTGAGGAAAGAGCTACTCACGCAAATCAGTATTCCTGCTTTCGAACACTAACAATTTTAGGGGGAGATGAAACCAACAAACACAATAAAGACATCAGAAAAGAGAGGAAATAGTAAGGGAGGGCACGCTAGTCATCTGACCTGTCTGGGCCTTAGTTTCCCCATTCATAAAATAAAGGGGTTGGACAGGGCAATCCCTAAGCATCTCTCTAGCTCCTCTCTAGAGGTCTGATTCAAATATAGTAAAACGGTCTCCTGGTGAATACCAAAACAATGTCTAAGATTTGAAAAGGTCACACAAATTTAATAAAATGCATAATTTTATGTGGTTCCTCTGGTTTCTCCCCAGTTTATAATCAGGTTGATGACAAAACTAGCGTATAGGTGGGAGAAAATACTTTAGTGTAAATTCTTTCTTACCATCAAAAAGCAATTGTCCTTAAATCCTTCTTATTTAGTTCCATGGAAGTCTACTAACTACCTAACAAGACTCATCCAATTCTTAAGGCTATCACCAAAGCAAAAAACACATATAAAAGCATAAAAATGTATATTTGACTTGCAAAGTGTGTGTGTGCATGCATGCATGCAGGTAGGTGTGACTTTGTGTGGTTTCCTCTGTTACAATGAGTTGAAAACATTCTTTGTGTCTCTAAATTCACCAGGAGAAGACTGATCATTTATTTTTTAAACATTCTGACTTTTAAAAGTAGATATGATATGTATAATGCATTCTTTAGAAAAAAATATCCTTGATCTCAAAATGACCTTTCCTGAATTAGATGCCCTTTTTCTCTTGTCTGCTTTCTCAGTCAAAGCTGCAACTGTAGTCATCATTAAGGGGGAAAAATCTCTTTCATTTCACAATAAAGTACACACAGTTACAGGACAGGCAATACCTTGAAGTTCCTGGTGGCTACACCTTCCAAGACTGAAGATTTTAATAACCACCTTTACCCCCTTATCCCACTCTCCACTGCAAGTTTCCTTGCCAATATTTGAAAGTGAATGGTGACAAGAAAAGACTGTCTTTCTGCTCTTTGGGGGGGAATTGAGAAAGAGGGTATTGTAGTCCATTACCCATCTATCCATTAGTATTTGGTGTCAAGGCAGGTGTTGACCATTTCAGATCAGAAAATAGAGAAGAGGGGCAAGAGGGAACTAACAATTATTGTGAATCTGCCATGTGTCAGGCATATGTTATCTCATAGAATCCCTAAGTTATCCTACAAAATAGGTTCACTATTATCTTATAGATGGAAAGACAAAGGTCCAAAAAAGTTAAATGACTTGTTCAAGGTCATTTTGGCAGAACCTCATGGAGACCACAGACATGGCTTACAACTTTGTGATCATTTCAGAACAGTTTTGGGAATAAGTCTTTGGGCTCAGAATGTCTTTCCATAATCCTTAAATTGCACCTAATAGACTATTTGACCATAATAAAACTATCAAGCAAAGATTTATCTCAAATGTATACATGTGTATAGAGCCTTCAAAAATAGATTAGGTAGGCTGGGTGGGGTGGCTCATGCCTATAATCCCAGCAATGTGGGAGGCCGAGGTGGGCAGATCATGAGGCCAGGAGATCAAGACCATTCTGGCTAACATAGTGAAACCCCATCTCTACTAAAAAATACAAAAAGTTAGTCCAGCATGGTGGCAGGTGCCTGTAGTCCCAGCTACTTGGGATGCTGAGGCAGGAGAATGGCATGAACCTGGGAGGCAGAGCTTGCAGTGAGCTGAGATCACATCACTGCACTCCAGCCTGGGTGACACAGCGAGACTCTGTCTCAAGAAAAAAAAAAAAGATTAGGGATTAAATCTTTAAAACATGATATGATTACTTTTTTAAAAATTATAATTTTACAAAGGATCAAAGAGGTTAAAGAAATTTCCCAACGTTCTTTCTCTCAAGCGCAATGCTCTTGTTCCTTCCTTTGCTCCAGGAGATATCTTTTATTATTATTATTATTATTATACTTTAAGTTCTAGGGTACATGTGCATAACGTGCAGGTTTGTTACATATGTATACTTGTGCCATGTTGCTGTGCTGCACCCATCAACTCGTCAGCACCCATCAACTCGTCATTTACATCAGGTATAACTCCCAATGCAATCCCTCCCCCCTCCCCCCTCCCCATGATAGGCCCCGGTGTGTGATTGTTCCTCCAAGTCCTGGCACTGTACCAAAACTTGTGGCTCCCTGAAGTCACTGAGACAGTGTGCCCAGGTGACAGCAGGTTCAGATTTGTTTAGAGCTCTCTAGGAGAGCTGGGGGTCTAGGCCACGTCTCCCCATTTCAAGTGGTCTTAAGAGTCCAGCTCTGTCCCAGTTTCCCATCTATGCTCTCTTGCCCACCAAATGCGTGCTTTAAAATTGGATCTATGTGGCAAAACAGGACTCATAACTTTGTCAGAGTTATGGTTTAGTGTCTAATCACATGGCCAGAGCCTGAGTAAGCGTGACAGGGACCAGTCAGACAGTAATAACACAAACTGAGAATGCCTACAGAAAAGGATGCACTCATTGTGAGCTGCAGCAGGGGGCAGTGAGACGCTAGCAAATGCGCATTATTGAACAAATGAAGAACAAGTCATTTCCCCATGTCTAATTGGACAGAAGAATTAAATAAGCAATTCTCTGCAAATACAATTTCTGAGTGTTTCTCTTAGTATTTCAGGGTAACCAGAGATTCCAAACTTCCACCAACTGGCGGCATTTTTAGAAATAAAAAGCTAGAAAAAAAAATCAGACACAGATTAGATTTGGCAAAATACAATAGAAAACAACCCTCCACCCGTATCCTATCCCAACATGCAGTTAAATGAAGTCCTTAAATTTAAGTTCACAGGACAGAGAAAGAAATTTAGTATGGAGAAAACAAGGGTTGACCATTGTGGGCCAATGAAAGTATAATGTGTGCAACCCAGTTCACTACAGACTACTAATTACACCGAAACTTCTTAAACTATCTTAAGAAGTTTAAGTTTAAGATAGTTTAAGAAGTTTGGGTGTAATTAGTAGCATGAGCTGAGAGAAAGAAGATTAATAATTTCAGAAAAGCTACACTGGATATATCCAATGGTGAAGGAAGAGGGTCTGGGTCTGTCACACCAAAAGCACCTTAGAAAATCAAGTCGGTTGTCTGTGACCTGGAGGCATGTATTGTACGTGATCATTGCTGAGTCTCGCCCCTCGTAGTGATTGATAAAGCCATTCAAAGGATGGAATGAAGTCATGTATGGACACAATCCATTTCCCTTTATTTACTTTACCAGTCTCACCTAATTTGAGGCCTAGCAGGAGGGCTTCTTAACCCAGACACTTACATAGTAGTCTCCTAAGGCAAGAAAGTATTCACGTAAATGCAGAGAAACTGGCTGTCTTACATAAGCCTACTGTCCCGGAGACACAGGGTAAATTTACAACTGTTTTTCTTTCATATATTGCAAATTCTCCAAATTTTACTTAGGCATTTCATATTCTTAATTGCAAAAGCCTTTTCAAAAGCAAGTGAAAAGTGGCTTTTGGACAATCGGATTGTAATTGCTTCCCTCTATTAGCACAAGTAATCAGCTGATTTAGGGAAAGACAAGGGCAGGACTTGCAAGCCCTCTTCTGCTGCCTTTGCTAGTATGATAGGGTGCGACTCGAGATGACAGTCTCACAGTCCTCTACCCAGAACTAAACAGGGTCTGAGCTCTATGAACCAGTAGTGGTCAGCACCCTTATTATGAGAAGACGTACAAATGCCCCAGGTAAAATCAATGCAACATTCAAAAAATCAGGTTTTATTAAGAGCTAGTTAACATCGTACAGATATGCAAACCTGTACTTTACGTCAATACTCTGCTGAGACGATAACCTTTTCGTTAAGTAGATTTACTGCCAAATGGACAGGGATTTGTGAATGTCTTTCTCATACCAGGTTTTTCCTTCAAAAAGAGTCTTCGATCTCCATCAGCAAGGAGTGTTGGTATGGGCTTCTGGCCAGCAGAAGAAATATTTTTATTACATAGAACTGGCTGCTACAATCATATTTGTGTGACTCTAACTATAAAATAGGTTGAAAATATATGTTAAAAATGGGTATACGTTGTTACATAATAAACAAGAATACTATTAATGGCCATGCTATGTACTAATCTCTTTACTGTCTTTACTAAACAAGTACTTATTATGATAGACTCTAATTATATATCTCTCACAATTTATTATAAGTGCTGTAGTTTCACTTAATTAGATTATACTGTTACAGTAATCCTTA